GTAACGACAGGGCCCCTTGGGCCTTAAATATACAAATTATTATTATTATAAATGTTAACCTCGTATTCAGCCGTGACCTATATGGAATTTTAGTAAAGAGTGGGGTTAAATAATGTGTATTTTATGATAGCTTAATATCTACCACAGCTTCGCTCTCTAATTTTGGACTTTTGCAACATCTACAGTATCTAGTTTTAGCTCAGAAATTATAGAGCATCGCCTACCTAGTAGAAAGCAAGATTCTTCAGCAGTCAGCTAGTCATGGGAGCTTAGCAAAGTTCCTTTATCAATACTAATAGTTCAGAGATATGACATACATCCTATTTTATATCAGGTGGGAATATGAGTATATCAGTCGCGGTGATTCTGTCTCATCCAGCAGGTAACGTTTTTAAGTAGCTTCACATGGTTACTGCCACGAGTCGTACTTCTACTGCTAGTTCTTTATACTGATAGTACTGGTGGCGGTAGTGTTATATCTATTAAACTGATAGTGGGATAGTGCAAGTATCTTTAAAAGTAGAATTGGTGAATACAGTAAGGAGAGAGCGCACTACAAGTATTAGCCTAAAGGGCAGCAGTACGAAAATAAAGTATCAGGTAGGTACAGTAGGACAGTCTAAATCAGTAGGGCAATTTCAGTGATGCTGGTAGTATTAGTGATAATGATGATACTTGCACATCAGGGCTCTCCTTGCTTTCTGCCCTTTCAATTCTAGAAACCAGGCTGTCATCTTATTGGTTGACGAAAGTTATTAAGAATTATCTCAAGGTTTAGCATGTCCTTATGCCGCATTGTACCATTTATCGTTAACAGTCTAAACTTTGCACTGTCTAGACTCCATCTTGAGGGCACAGGAGAGGTCTCCCGTGTTATAGTATGGCAGTACACTGCTGCAGTAAAAGCGCATTAATTATGATGCTGGAGATACTAGCGATTTTAGTTCGTTTAGTCCATTGGAAACTGTTACCGTATTTGATCCAAAGAGCATATAATTATACACGTTGGGAGTCGACTCCAGATAGGTATAACAATGAAGACGGCCTGCCTAATGCCTAAACAGTATTCGGCGACTGAACTAAGTGCCGAGAATACCGATTATCTGACATGGCGTCTAGGGGGTTTGTCTGTCCGGGCCATAGGAGGGTCATCTCTTGTGGTCACTGGGTGTAGCGTTCGGTGGACAGCTCCCAGCTGGGACTACTGAATGTATAAGATCGAAACCTAGTATGCAGCCGCAACCTATATCGAGGACTGCTTAGCCACTTGCCGTTAGTAAGCTAATATTATATTTTTTCCAGTACTTAACTACCTCTCTTGAGGTTAAGGGGACGTCTCCTGTCTTATAGGAGATCAATCTGTTCTGTAATAAACTAACATTGCTATATCCTATAATTGTGCCAGTACTTCAGTACTGATGAATAAGCAAGGTAGTACCTATATTGTAATAATATCTGAGTGGTAAGACATGCACCTTATATTTGCAATAAGCATATCTGACGGGAATATGCGCTTACAAGCCTCCTTGTCCTCCACGGAAGTGATCTGAAGAACATGCTGGTTAAGCTGGGTTGATTTTGTCGCTGTACGGATGACGCAGACCAACAGGCGATTGATGCAGCCTTTGAAAGTCCCATGATGAAGCTTTGTGTCGGTCGAGCGCTCAGACAGTTTCGTAAGCAACTAACAACTCCCGGTTTTGCACGCGACAGCCTCGGCCATCTATTTTGTTGATGCCCAAGTTATGCTGCAAACAGGTTGATGCAGTGACTTGAGCGCGACTTGGGTTTTAAGTGATAGTCAACTTCCCGCAGCATCAAACCGCATTCTCGCTCATCACTCATCCCTTAAATATACTCATACCGATTCGCTCCACCGACAAAGGGTAGTTCGACATTCCGCAAATGTTTCCAGCTTACAACTTCATTATTATCCAAGAGGAAACGTTTCAGGTAGAGAAGATGTCTGATGGACCAGGCTTGTACGCCATCTGTAGAAACGTGTGCTCGGACGTGTTGCGCAGGGAGGCTACGACTGTAGGCGGAGAGGGCATGGTGGTGCAAGTGGACGAGACGATGATCCCCGACCCAAGTAAAACCACAGGCGAAGTGAAGGTCCTGGTGGCTGTTGGGGGTGGATGATGTGTCGAAGAAGAGGGTGGCGTGCGAATAAGTTAATTACCTGAGTGCGGTTATAAATAAATAAATTTTATATTTAGGGCCCAAGGGGCCCTTTCATCAAAAACATATTACTGTGGTTAAAAAAATACAAAGTTAGTAATCAAAGCTGTGCGTAAGTAACTGCATAACAGCAGGAATGAGTAGTATGTTACACGTGAGTCAGATCCGATATACATCGGACCGTCTTATAAAGAAATAGCCAAAAATGTTAAGCAGTGAATAAAGACTTCTATACCGGTGGCAGAGTTCAACGAGCCACCGATTTTCCAAGAATATATGAGAAAAACTGTTTAAATAGGCAGTTAGATTGATATAATAAGATATTGTGCAATCAGATGGGATAGCGATCTTTACGGTTCGGAAATCTCCTTTTCGTCGAAAAAAAACACATCGCATCAACTGGGTGAGACAAGAGGAACTCATCGTGGACAAAGGCATGGCAGTATCACCGAGATGCGACCCATCAGACTGTAGAGTCTACCGGCACTTTGGCGACAACGTAAGGACCTGCAATGATTATCAACGGTGACCTAGAAGACCACCGTCAGTGTTGCAAAACGGACAAGAGTTTGCATCATTTGTAAATCACGCTTGGCTCTGCAGTGAAAAATGTAAACATATTTAGAGACCACTTTTTTTACCTAGAGAGGGGTTTCAAATGCCAGGAGGACCATTTAAGAAGTCTAAAAGTTACGTGTTTGGGAAGGAAACAAACCGTAAGGGCATTATTTTCTCCAGAGTTGAATGTTTATGTAATTTGCCTTTGAAAAGCGACAACCTAATTTAGAGTGGAAAATTATTCCAAATAAAGCATATTTGGAGGCAAAAAAGATGAAAACGGTTAGATGTGGAGCTAAGAGTTGGTGAAATTATCTTGGAGGACTCAAGAGTGGCGTAAGATCGGTTTACCGGAGCGAGAACGCTTATTTGTGGGAGACTTAGGCTATCGTTAGGGCGAAACAGGAAGCATATACCGGCTTTGAATCTTCTTTACCACAGAGATTTAATGTTCTCTAGATGACATCTATCCGTATGAGAAATACTGGATCCAGAAAGAGATCTCGAAAATAGGTTCACGGGTGAAAACTCTGAACTTTTTCAATCTTTCTACAGTCGGACGCTTTCATAAGACCAAAAATGGAACAACAGTACTCTATGATAGGGAGAACAAACATGCGGTTAAGATTTAGCTTTATTTCAGGCTACCGAACATTTAAAAGTAGTTTCTTATATCAAGTCGATGGGACTTTTGGGGCCTCTAAAATCAGTCTCCCCGAAAGTCCAAAAAGGAATAAGAAACACTTTTAGTTATTAGTTGAGGCATTTTAGCAACCTTTAAAATAAAGAAAATAGGATGTGCGAAGATCATGTCCATTTTTGTGTAGATGTGCAGACACCTGTAGAGGCAATATCACTACAAATATACAAAACGTCTAAGTAAATACGCAAT